ACTTGTACTGTTAATAAGATTTTGGTAGGCTGGTATTAGATGGATAGCCTAAATGTCCTAATTCAGATGGGCTACCTATTTTTTTTTTTTTATGGTATATCAAAAAGTGTATATTTTTTAAATGTGATTGTTGGTACATTTGACCAGTTTTTACCATACTTTCAAAACAAAAATTAAAATAGGACAAATATGCAATATGAAAATAATAGAAGACAAAATGTGTTTTACTGAGAAAAAAACAAGATTTGGTTTTTAAAAAGCCTTTTTCCAAAAGGTACATCTGGAAAAAGGGGGGTCGTCTTATAATCGGGCCAATACGGTATTTGTTTATTTTGAATACGCGCCCTCCAGCGGCAAAAATTACATATTGTGCCTTTAATGTCACTTTAAATCATACATTGACGTAAGTTATTTACATAACTTCCAACACCCCTGCAATGTCTAATGATTTTCAAATCATGGATCATCAGGTTTTGTCAAAACTATTGCAGATATTAGTGCTTTTATGTCTGAGAAGAGAAGCGAACTGACTGAAGCTCTTCCCGCATGCAGTGCAGTGATACGGTTTCTCTCCGGTGTGGATCCTCTCGTGTGTTTTCAGATGTCCGGTTTGATTAAATCTCTTGTCGCAGTGTGAACACTGGAACGGTTTTTCTCCAGAGTGAACTTTCTGGTGCACTTTCAGTTCACTATTTGTAATAAACGACTTCCCGCACTCACCGCATATGTGATTCTTCAGACCCTCGTGTCTCTTCTGGTGAACTATTAAAGAACCAAGCTCTGTAAAAGCTTTTCCACACAACGAACACACGTGAGGTTTCTCCTGCGTGTGGATTTTCAAGTGCTTCCTCAGGGATAGTGCTGTAAAAAAGGTTTTACCACACTGATCGCAGTGAAACGGTCTTTCTCCAGAGTGAGAACGCAGATGCGATTTGAGAGCTCTTGCTTGTGTGAATCTCTTCTCACACAGATCGCATGTGAACGGCTTCTCTCCGGTGTGGATCCGGGTGTGGATCTTAAAGGTTTTTTTATTAGCAAAACTCTTTCCGCAGTGAATACATGAATAGGGTCTCTCTCCAGTGTGGGTTCGTCGGTGTTCTTGAAAGTTTCTTTCGTATTTGATACTCTTTCCGCAATAATCGCACATGAATGGCTTCTCCCCAGTGTGAACTCTCATGTGAACCTGAAGGTTGTGTTTGTAGTTGAAAGTCTTTCCACACTGAGGGCAGGCGAAAGATTTTTTTGGCCTCGGCTCTGGTTGTTCTCCAGTTTCGACATGATGGTGTTTCTCCGCCGCTTCATTCAGATCTTCGTCCTCATTGTTCTCATCCATCACGACTGAAATTCAAGTAGAAAAAACAAACAAAACAAAAAAATCAAAGAGAAAAATGTAAAGTAAAAAGATATTTAAAACCCTAACGTGATAACAAAAATAAAGTTCAAATAGTTGTCACAATGGTTGCTGAAGTTCAACCAAGGTAACCATAAATTAACCATGGTTTTGCAACACTAAATTATATAACCATGATTTTGTAGTAAAACTGTGGTTATACAAATATTAATCAATAGGGCTAAGTTTGGACACAAATTTCACAATTCTGATTCACAAGCTTGCAATTCGATTCGATTCGATATCAGTTATTTTAGATATCAGGTAGAGTGCATGCCAAATTTTACTCAAGGGGAAAAAAATCAACTAAATCTGTAAAATATACCTGAGAGTCAGGTGGTGGTACACTACTATAACACTGAAAGTTAAAATTAACTGATTTGTGAACAATCGCCTAAATTGCACTCAATTAAGTTACAATTGCAAAATTATATTTCTACTCCAATTCGTTTTTTTTAATACAAACATTTAGAATGGTCACTGTTTATTTGAACAGAAATTAAATGTTGAAAAACAGTAAAAAATTATAATGAAAATGTTATATGATGCATATATTTAGCAAAATGCTCCTCTCTAGAGTTCATTTTTCTAACTGACTAAGGAGGTCACGAATATGTTTTTTAAACATAACACAACAGGTAAATGTGACAATGTTTACCATCTGTTATATTGACGTCTTTGCGCGGTTGAAACACTGAGCGATTACATGAGACAGGAATCGGATTTCGGTAAATTGTAGCCTACTCCTCCTTTTAACATACCTTCGGATGATTATTCATCTTTATTTCGTGCTGTAACCGGTATTAAAGCGACGGAGATGGTCAGTTATTATCAGTGTTGGGGAAAGTTACTTTTAAAAGTAATGCATTACAATATTGCGTTACTCCATAAAAAAGTAACTAATTACGTTACTTAGTTACTTTTTATGGAAAGTAATGCGTTACTTTACTAGTTACTTGGAAAAGTAATCTGATTACGTAACTCACGTTACTTGTAATGCATTACCCCCAACACTGGTTATTATCATATATCAAACAGAACGTGCAGACCACAAATACAAGGTAGTAGATGTTGTCTTTTTTCATATTATTACAGCGAAATACAACGGAAAAACCGAAAATGATGCAGCAGACTGAAAGGAGGATTCTTGTTATACCATGTTACATTTGAATACCAAGCGTTACCGTTATTTTCCTGACGTCTTAAAATACATGAAGTAAAATTTACATCTCATTAACTCAAACGTGACGAGTGAGGATTATTTGTAGCGCAAAATTACGATTTGAAATGTATTTTTGAGTTGAACGTTCACAAACCGGAAGTGCCATAAACTAGTTAGAAAAAAAGGTGTATAGAATAAAACTAAAGAAATGACACTTGAACCAAGAGAAAATTTGCAATCTGCTACGCCACAAGGACAAGGATTAATATTATTAAAATACCGCATAACTTAATGCAAGTGTTTGATAGCAGGGGCTCCACTGATGATAGTTTTATTCACACATAAACGAAAAACGCACAGATCGATCTCGGGATTTAAGAATAGAGATCGTTCAAATGGAGATCGCGATGCATCAGAAAAAAAGATTTTCACTCACCCTAGATGATACACCAATCCAGTCAATCACAGCCTAGAAACAAGTTGCGTTCATCGCATCCTTCTTCTTTCACTTTTGTGGTGGATGACAAACCGATTTGTGGTGCATTTGCGCCTCCTGCTGGACTGGAGCGCGGAGAATATTGCGATTTGACAGACGACAGACACAATTGATACTCGGATTTTCTTGTGTCTGTCTATCTCAGTCTTCAGTGTCACATGATCCTTCAGAAATCATTCTAATATGCTGATTTGCTGATCAAGAAATCATTTTAATATCACTTTCTTTCAAGAAAAGTACTGACCCCAAATGTTTGAACAATAGCATGTACACACACGGGAATGAATCTGATTTTAATAGACATCAAGCACCATAAAAAGAGACAAAGAAAATGAAATAAAAGAACTTCACAAAATAAACAAGTAAAATGCAGGTAAAACTTTAAGGTACCCTATTAAATTACAGAAATAATGCATTCTTTTGCTTCATTAATTTCAGTAATACAAAAAGAAAAGAAAAAAAGAGTTTCTTGTGAAATATGCAAGTATGTCATTATTTTTAACCTCCTTTACTGAAATAATTAGTTCCTTGAAAATCAAAAGAAAACATATGCTTGTTGTATAGCAGTGGTCGCCAACCGTCGATAGGCAGATCTTTATCACTGTCCCAGTAGATCCCGAAAAAAAACAGTAAAATAAGTACAAAAATGCATTACATTTATGGGGTTATATTAATGTATAACTGAAGGGAACTGTCTTGAGAAAAGTTTTGATGGCATTTTCTTCTCCATATAAAGCGCAACTCTGCTTTGTGTACAGCGGTAACCAAGGAAACGCTATATTGCGGTCGGTTCATAAGCAGTGTTGCCAAGTCCGCAGGAAAGGCTACTTTAACACTGTTGCCGCGGGTTGTTGTTCATGTCCGCGGGTTGAAGCGCCCCCCATAACGTGATATTTAGTCCCTGGAATGTGAATTTTACTGGAAGATCCCGGCCGGAAAACGTGTATTTTACCCCCGGAATGCGATTTTTACAGGGGAACCC